CCGCACACCCCACCCCGGCCCCCAGCGAGCGGCCGGAGCACGGCCCCCCCCCGGGCACGGCCGCCCCCCACCGCCGGGACCGCCAGGCCTTCTCCATGTACGAGCCGGGCTCGGCGCTGAAACCCTTCGGGCAGCCGGCGGAGGAGCTGCTGCCCCGACTGCTGCCCTTCGGCGCCGGCGTGAGTGTGCTGGGGCTGGGGGGGGTGGGTTTTGGGGTGGCAGTGGTTTCCCCCCGCCCCACCAGGGTGCTGGGTCCCATCCCCGCGGGGCTGTAACCTTTCGTGTGTCGCCAGGAGGTGGAGGACGAGGCTCTGTACTCCATGCACATCCCGGCCAGCGTGTACCGGGTAAGGGGGCCGCGGCGGGGGCGGCTCCTGCATGGGACATGGTGGCTGTCACCCTCCTGGGACGTAGCCTTCGTGCCATCCTGGGACGTCCCATCATCGTCCCCCCCCCCCTGCCATCCTGCACCCCCCGGGTCAGGCTGGGGACCTCCGTGGGGGACAGTGGCCATGGGACGTTCCTGCATGCAGGGCGGCGGTGTCCCCTGTGCTCGTCCTCCCCTGCACGTCACCAAAATCAGCTCCAGACCCTTCTGCACCCCCTTCAGCGCCATTTTCCCTTCTTTTCCCCCTTCCAGATGCGGAAAGGTCCGTCTGCCTCCTCAGTGCCCTTTCCCCCGTCCTCCCCGCTGCTCTCCTGCCCGCCCGACGGTGCCCGGCACATGGTGACGTACTGGGGAAGGGAGGGGGCAGCTCCTGGGGTGGGGACACCCCCAGCCCTGCACGGGGATGTGTCTGGGCAGGGCTTGACGCCGCTCCTCTCCCCTCCAGAGCAAGCTGGACCGGCACGGCAGCGGCACCGACAGCGACTACGACAACACGCAGGCGGGTGAGGTGCTGATCAGGTGAGTTTTGGGGCTGGGGAGGTGGGGACACGGGGACGTGGGGCTGGCACTGACCCCGGGGGGTCTTGTCGGTCCCCACAGCATGGAGGGGAAGCGATTTGTGGAGCTGAGCAAGGACGAGGACTTCCCCCACGAGCTGGACCCACTGGATGGGGAGCTGGACCCTGGGCTGCCCAGCACCGAGGACGTCATCCTCAAAACCGAGCAGGTCACCAAGAACATCCAGGAGCTGCTGCGGGCAGCACAGGAGTCCAAGCATGACAGGTAGGGCTGGGACACGGGCACAGGGTCCCTCCGGACCCCCTGGTCCCAGGGGTTGTGTTCCCATGGGGCCACCCCTGCGAGCAGAGCCATCATCCCCCCTCTGCTACCCCCTAGCTTTGTGCCCTGCTCGGAGAAGATCCACTCGGCTGTGACGGAGATGGCATCGCTCTTCCCCAAGGTAGGAAGTGGGGGGGATGAGTTCCTGGGGTGGTGAGGACCCCACCCCCAGGCCCTGTGTCCCCCCCAAAACTGACACGTGTCCCGACTCTGCTGTGTCCCCCCCTCCCTGCAGAAGCCGGCACTGGAGACGGTGCGGAGCTCCCTGCGGCTGCTCAACACCAGCGCCTACCGGCTGCAGAGCGAGTGCCGCAAAACCGTGCCCCCCGAGCCGGGCGCCGCCGTGGACTACCAGCTCCTGACCCAGCAGGTCATCCAGTGTGCCTACGACATCGCCAAGGCCGCCAAGCAGCTGGTCACCATCACCACCCGCGAGAAGAAGCAGTGAGCGCCGGCACGTACCCCCCCCGGGCCTGGCTGCCTTTCAGCAGGGAATGACCTGAGCACCGTGCACAGCATTTGCAGCCAGTCTGAGCGAGGGGAGCCTACCCAGGGACCAGCACTGGGGCCTTGTCACAGATCTGCGGGGTCACAGGAGAGACAGGAGGAGGCTGCTGCACTGTGATCTGATTTTTCTCCCAGCATCTCTCACCTACAAGGACTGGAATTGCCGGTACGCGCTGATCTGGTTTGGGGGGCTACTGACTTCAGGTTTGTTTGCAGAGTGGGAGATGCTCTCAGTCCCACTTACACCAGCCACCATCAATACATTTCCACCTTTACCACGCCTGGTTATGGATCAGTGTGGGCAAGGGTAGCGAAGGGAAAAGAAATAATTCAAACCCTTTAAATCTATAGGTTTGTTTCCTTCTCTTCCGCTCCATGGCTTATGTGCACGTTGCTTTTGGCTCAGCGCTGTTGGGAACCGTTTCACCCAGTCCCCTTGGCCCCGGCTGGCGGCCGGTCACGCCATCCCTGGGGCTGCCTCACCGCTCGCCCAGCCCCGGGGCAGGGCTTTCCCCGGCACGGCCCCGCCATCGTTCTACCAACCCGCCGAGCACCAGGGGGCTACCGGCCCTGGGAGGGGGGCTCCCGCTGCCCCCATGGTGTCCCCCGAGGCTCTGGTGGCCCTGGCTGTGGTGCTCGCTGGCCTGGGGCTCCTGGCCTGGCGCTTGTGGGGAGGGAGGTTGGAGAAGACTGGAGACTGGGGTGAGGAGGAGGAGGAGGAAGAGGAAGGGATCCCCTTCATCGCCGAGGATGGCTCCAGGTGTTGCCGCCTGCTGTGCAAGCCCTCGGCGCTGGCCCAGCATCTGGTGCGGAGCTTGGGGGGGTCGGGGGTGCTGTGGGGGGGGCACTGGCGGTGGCCATGCTGGCCCCGGCTCCAGATGTTGTGGCAGCTCCTGAAGCCGCCCGAGCCGGAGCCGGTGGTGGCCCGGGAGCTCCTACAGATGCCTGACACTGGGTTGGTGGCTTTGGACTGGTTGGTGGGGCCGTGGGGGGG